ATGTCTCTATCCGGGAAAGCCTTTTCTCGTAGGCGAAGGTGGGCACCTTCTTCCTCAGCTGATCGAACGCCTCGTTGAGGTTGAACATCCTCTTCCTCTCCCGTATGTTGGCAGCCTGGCGCTGGGCGTAGGTGATAACCCGCTTTCTCCGGGGTCTGTCCAGGAGGGAAGCGCTCCGCATCCTCTCCTCTTCCTCCTCCTCCTCCTCCTCGTCGTCTTCAGGATCTCCATCTCCGAAGGCAGCCAGCTGGTCTACCCCCTCCTGGAGCGACGGGGCCCTGGCCCCGAAGGGAGGCCCGGAGGTGACATCGCAGAGCCCCAGGCTGGGCCCGGCCCGGGGGGGACCCTGGGGGGTGCCCAGGGAGAGGTCGGCCACGAAATCCAGCACCGAGGCGCCCAGCAGCCCCTCCGGGCAGGGCACTTGCGGGGCTCTGCCGTGCCGCTCCGCCAGCAGCCCCGGGCGCTGGTGGGCTGGGAAGAGGCTGGCTGACATCTTACTTCAGAGAGGGCTTAATCTGCTCCCCCATCTCCAGCCCCAGTGGCGTTAATATTTATAACCCCCCGGATAACAGGATTAGCAGGGCTAGAAAGAGAGGCTGTAAAATTCTCGCCGTGATGCTGATGAGAGGAGACAGGCAGCCCCCTCGCAGACGCGTGGATGCTCCCGAGCGTGGATGCTCCCGAGAGAGGAGTCCCCAGCGAGTCAATCCTGTCACAGCGATCAAGGACAGTTCCTTCTTGGCAAAACCCTCCACTTTTACCTGCTGAGCACTTTTGTCTCTTCTTACACACCCGCAACCAAACGATTTTCAGCCTCTTTAAAGACCCCGGCCGCAGAGCGGTGTCTCCACTGGGCTTGTTTTCCTGCTTTCCGTTGGGATCTCTGAACCCTGAGAGCCAGCCTGACAATTGATGTCAGGCAAGTGCATGTATGCTTTTAATGATGTCCTGAAGAGGGGACCTGCGCGCAGAGGGTCACCGGGGAATGTTTACCCTGTATCCCTGCGCAATGGGAGCTGAATGACAGGACCTCCATTAGCCTAAGTAAGCATTGTAGGGGACTCGATATTGCATTCCCACTAGTAACTGTTGGCATCGTCTCTCTATTTCCCCTAAATCCCCTTCAACTAGAGTTCAAACATCTTTCCAGTAAAAGGCTACTTCGTAAAGCTCACGTCGGTTCAGGCAATCTCAAAGCACTTGCTTTGAAATTCCTTCTTCCTACCCATGAGACGAGGATAATCTGGTTCTATGCAGGTCAGCGGCTGCTCTTGCACCTTTGGTAGAGCCGTCCTGGTCACCGGCCCGGCACAGAGGAGTCAACCTGACCGCGCTCACTGATAACTCTGGATACATGGCGCAAAATACCGTGAAATGCATAGAAACACACCCGTACACCCGACACCGCTGAATACCTTTCTTTGATCAGGGTTTCCTTGGGGACGGACGTTGGGGATTGTTTTGCTTTTGTCTTGGGAGGCTGGAAGAGGTTAGGAGTTGTGTTTTCACCCTCCCACACCATAGACTGTCTCTAAGTAAACAGCCTGGCCCGGGCAATCCCTGGCACTGTTAGACACACCCAGGACGGATCCGATCGATTTTCTTTGGCACACGATTCGTGCACAGAGCTCGTTCAGGCTCGTTCGGGAGTGGCTGGCCATTGTTCTTGCGCTGCCTTCTTCAAGCCTAACCTTCGCCTTTGTCATACATTGTTGCCACTCTCGCTTTGGGGCTAATTAGCCTCTAATTTCTAAGGGGATTTCAAAGCCCATCAGATCAAAGGCGGCGGGTGGGGGCGGCCGAAGGATCCCGCTCCGCGAAAATCCTTCCTGTTTACCTACAGGACAGCAAACATTTCCGACCGCGGACCGGGATCTGCCGTCATTTATAGCACAGTGAGCGAACCACGCACCCCCTTTTCTCGGGAAAGATGCCGCGGGAAAGGCACTTCCCCGCCCGGCTCTCCCCCGGCCCCGCGG